GCCTGCCTGCCTGCCTGCCTGCCTGCCTATCTGTGTCTGTCAGTCCGTTCATTTGTCTGTATGTTCCACACTTGTTGCTACTGTTGTGCGATGCTCCCAGTTTGAGAAGAACGTAAATCGTGAGGAAAGAAATAGGTTACAGTTACCCCTTCAGCCACAAACAGCATGTGTGAAAGCATGAGCATTCAACACCCCGCACATCCCCCCCCCCCCCCCCCATGGAGCCCAGAGCGGTACCCGTGCCCCAGTTTGACTTAACTGGTATTCGACTGACTTTTACAATGGGATTAATTGACAACTGTAAACATGCATTGTCCAGTAAGCAATGGCAAACTACTGGACATAAATTTACCTTTAAAAAACCACAACAGCCAGAAAGTGCTGGGGTTGGTTCTGCAACGTCCTGTAACGGATGCACAACTAATTATTATAAAACATGCATGGTACTGGGAAGGAGAGGCAGGGGTCGACCGACACGAAGATGGGCACAGGATATAAGTGACTCCTTGAGTAGGAAAGTACACGAGGCGGGAAAGCTGGCGAGAGACCGAGTTTCTTTCAGGCAGACTGTGATGCAAGCGACGTCCTGCAAGGGGCCTGCTACATGATGATGATGATGAAACATGCGTGTGTATGACGCGGTGCGCACACTTGTTTTACTCAGGTCACAGCAGTGCAAAACAGTGTTAGGTTTCAAACAGACCCCTCCCTTAATCTTTTTTTGTTACATATTTTCTGGGGGTGGGGCGCTAAAGATGCCAGTACCTTGTTTAAGTACACAATAAGGGTAATCAAAACTTAAAAGATGCACACAAATAATGTTAAAGGATGTGAAGGACACTTTTCCATGCCTGCAGGCATATTGGGCATATAGGGCTAGACCTTGATTTTATAGACCAGTCGGCACATGATGGGTGATGTGGTTAACATCACGCTGACCGCCTTTACCTCCCAGGACTGCAACTGGTACCCACTTGCTTTTGTGAGTTTTTCTTGGTATTCATAAAATGCATGTTATTATATGAACATAACATGGTTTAATGATAACATGCAACTGCTGTGTAAAAAGTGGGTGTTTGGAAGGGGCGAATGTAAGACGGGCCTGCGTGCCCAATTTGTAACCCTTTGAAAATGGAGTTTGTTTCTTCACTCGTTCGTTCGTTCGTTCAAGGCTGAGTAGGCCTGGAAGCCAGGGTCATTTTTTGAGGAAAACTTGGTTCCGTCAGGACCCGATGCCACAACCTTCCGATCCGCAAGGCGAGCATCTAGTCGCTACACCACGGCGACTCCCTGTGCTTTCGCGCGCGCGCGTGTGTGTGTGCGCGCGCGCCATGCGTAATATAGGTTAGTTGCGTATCCTTTATAGGACTTTCCAGAACCAACCCTAACAGCCCCTGGCTGTTGTGTGGTTTTTCCTAGGCAAATTTACGTCCAGTTCTGAATATGAATAGCGGGTGTCACTTAGCGCCCCCCCCCCCGCTCCCATAACACAATTTATAGAACTCCCATCCCCCCTTTTCCTTAAGGTTTCTGCGTCCCTGCCAGTTACCTTTCTACTACACGTCTGCCACCTCGATCAGCTGCAGAGGTCGTCATCACATCGTCCCCCCCCCCCTCCCCCCCCACAACCTCAAAACAAAACCGGCACCCCTCCCATTTTTTTTTTTCAACTCCCAATCAGGTAAGCGGACTGTTGAAGTAGAGCAGATCGACTTCATCGCACCGGGTTTTATCCTATGTGGCTTGATCTCTCTCTCTCTCTCTCTCTCTCTCTCTCTCTCTCTCTATCTCTATCTCTCTCTCTCTATCTCTCTCTCTCTCTCCGCGGAACGGCAAGCCGCTGCCGAGATCATCACATAGTGCAGGAGCTCTGTAGCTCCGGCGACGATCTCCTTAAAAAGTGAACTAAACGGCACAGTCGTAAAGCGAACCCACGACCTTCATAGCGCGAGTCTAGACCACTTGGCCACAGAGACACCCTTAAGCGGACAGTGTAGTCTTTCATACAATTTGGGAATCTATCACAGGATATATTGACACGGGACTAGCGCCTACAGAAGAACTCGTTGTGTGAGGTGGGTTTATGTTAGTGTGTTTAGGACAAGGAGGGTCAACATATTTCCAGCTGTCTCTGAGACGCCGGAGACAGGAGTCATAAAGCTGGCAGCGATGAAAGCTAGAAGCTGCTTCTTCTCCTCCTCTTTCTTACTCTTCCGCACTCCACTTTCCACTACCTCCTCCTTCCAATTCCTCATCCTCCTTCCAATTCCTCGTCCTCCTTAACGTAAAATGTGTAGCTCTAATATTTAATGAGTCTTTTTGTTCCCCATGTGTGGGTTCTGGGGCCCCTTGTGTGGGTTCTGGGGCCCCTTGTGTGGGTTCTGGGGCCCCTTGTGTGTATGTGGGGGTGGGAAGGGGGGGAGAGAAGCCCGTCGTAGAAGTCCACTAGTTGGGAACTTCCTGTGAGGTTGGAGTGCATCTGCCAAAGCGGCAAGAAACAACCGTCTGCAGACACATAAGCCAGTAAAGCGGATGCCAGGACTTTTCGCCGGAGTTTACAGCCAGTTAAATAAAAAAAATAAAAAAACGAAAGAAGAAGTCCTGTTGTTTGGAGCTTACATATTGGGAACAGTTATAACAGTTACAAATAAACTGCAACCATTCATTAACTGGTGCCTGCACAGAACAGGAGGAATTAAATGGTATCATAGAATCACTGATAAAGAACTTTGAGAAAGAGCTTTTCAAATGCCAGTGAATCAGTACTTGAGGAAAGCTTGCTGGTTTTGGAAAGGACACACATTGATGGAACCCACACAATATAACTAGAATGTATTTGTGTGTTTTGTACATCAAGATGATGATGACCACTCTTTTTCATCAAGTATGAGTACGAAGATGACTGATGAGGCCGATTGCGGGCCCGAAAAGTTCTTGGACAGTGAGGACAGGAAATGAGCGTTGTGCCAGGGAGGGGATCTCCTGCAGTCGCCTTTCTGTCCATCCTTTTCTTAATCAGTCTTGCTGTTCTGTTTGTTTCACATGCAGCCGCGCCCTTGTGTAGAGCTGCACGCCATGCATTTCGGTCTTGAGAGACAGCCTCCCAGTTGGTGTCATTCATCCCAAATGTTTTGAGTGAAGACTTCAAGGTGTCCATAAAAGCGTTTAGAATTTATTTACAGTGGATATCACAGATTCAGGGGAATTCTTCTCTCCCTTAAAATAAAGTATCCAAATCTGCAATGCTGTCTCTAGAACGAGCTGTCTTTTGTAATTCACTTAGCGGCCCGTAAAGTTTGGCTTCCACCAGTGCTCTCTTGGCCAGAAGTTTTGCCTGGAAGCCTTGAATTTGGGACAGTCTTGGAGGATATGATCTGTTGTCTCAGGTGCCAGTCCACATGGCTGATTCACCAGTCTTATATTGTGTGTACGTGTGGCTGCGAAGTCAATTGTGCCCTGTTCTAAGATGTAGAATAATGACCTTCTCTTATCTGTCCATTAGATGATATTCAAGGCAATAATGCCGAACTCCCGACAAATACTCAGAAAAAGAAGCCAGAAAGTGAAGGTAAACGTAAGGGGGGAAGGGAGGAGTGAGATATACGAGGATAGGGGATAGGACCATATGGCGTGAGTTGGTTGAGAGCTTGATAGTTAGTTAGTTAGTTAAAATCAGTATATCCCTCAGCGTGTGGCGACTGATAACACCAGTTCTGTGTTAATAGTCTTCTTTGGCTACCTGTATACTTTTCCTGTTTGGCGACACCTCTTTTGACCTGAAGTTCTTGAAGTCTCTTGAGTGTTGCCGATTCAGCGTTGTCTCATGAATCATCTTCTCGTCCTGCCTCCTTGAGAGCCTTGAGAATGAGAATATGTGCTCCACTGGAGGATAAAGGGCACAAAAATATATGATAGGAGGTCTTCAGTTTTACCCAGGGTAGAGTTGCTCATGTAACAACTGAGGGAAAGAGACAATGGGGGTTGAGAGAAATATATCATGCAGGGAGTAACCAAGAAATGCTTGATAAGTTCCTTTACATTGAGTGAGTTAATAGCTACTTGTAAAAAGTTAAGTGCAATATTCTTATGGGAGTACGTCTACAATTGTGAACAGCAAATGGATCACCACAGTCTGATGAGAGTGACGCAGCGAGCAGTGATGAGGAGCCCTGGCTGATACTTGCTGCTCAGAGGAAAATCCACACGGAGGTATCATCAGACTGCTACTGGCACCATTGGTATTGGAACTCTGCGATGGTTGCTGAAGATGAGGATGAAGTGCTTATGGGAATGCCCAGATGTTATGATGTCGGTTCTCGAATCAGCTGAAATAAAAATCCTTTCCACCGCCATTGATGCATCAGACATACAACGCTAGACTAGTATTTTTTATAGATCGACCAGCACTTGCTAGGGAATGTGAACAGTTGAGGCTGGGTCAACCTTGGAGCCACGCTGAATTATGGGGGAATATCTGAGTTGGTACAGACCTTCAGTAACTTGTGCCTGTGTAGAATAGATTAAATTAAGTGGTATGATAGAATCACTAATGTTCAGTTTTGGGAGACAAGTAAACAAATTCTAGTGGACCAAGTGGTGGCGTTGGATAGGACAGGCATTGAGAGAACTTGACAGCAGTATAACTAGAAGGGCTGTAAACCAGAACCCACAAGGGCATAGAAATAGAGGTAGACCAAAAAACACTTGGAGAACGGAACTAGAGAATGAAGTTAAAAGGATGAGAAAAACTTGCGATGAGCTATCTGTGATAGCCAATCGTAGGCGACTTAGTGTGGGTTGGTTGGGGGCTTATGCTCCACTGGACGATAAAGAGCGGAAGAAGAAGAGGCACCATCAGCATGGGAACTGTTTACTGGCTGTTGAGGAAGAAGACAGAGCACCTGTGGAAATGCCACAAATGCAGTGAAATCAATTCTTGATTGATTCATTCATTCATTGACCGAATATAATGTTCCCATTTTGTTTCTTCTCCCCATCAGATATGAAAACTTTGTCTCTTCAAGGAAAGGGAGCTTTGAAAAAGCACAAGAGGCAACAGTTGGAAAAAGGGCAACATTAGCCTGACCTGAACACAGAAACTTATCATCATGTGATGTGATTTCTTTTTTTGTTTACATTCTGTTAATCAGTCATTTCATTACTGTTCTTGTTTTTTGTTTTTTTTTACTCTATCCTAAACAGTGCATCTTGTGTGATAAACTTGGTCTCATTAACACCAAATATTACTCAATATGAACTTTATCTTTCCCCCCCCCCCCCCACATTCCCTGTAGAATTCTAAAAGAATCTGGCATTCACATTTGCCCCTTTAAAAGTTTTGTACTCACAGTTTTTCTTAGTGGTTATTTCTCTTCTTAAGCGACTCTGTAAACATTGTTTCCACTGTTATAAGTCGATCTTTTCTTCGCATCTGCCTTTGCAGTTTCCAGAATTTCCCCAATGTTTTATCCCCTCCCACATCATTCACAAAAGTTTCCCACTTTGCTCTTTTGGCCTCTCCAGCTCAGTGCTTGAAACCTTCACCTTATCTTTTTTTCACATTCTCTGCCATCTCCACTTCCTCTCTTGAGCTTGAGGGTGTCTCTTGTACTTTCTTTAGCTGCTTCACTGCAGCTCTCTTTGCCTTCTGGAGTCAACCATGGGGGCTGTAGAAAATTAGCTCTGGCAGTCCTGTTGCATGATCTCTGTCTGAGGCATCCAAGTAGGTTGTTGGTCCATTTATACCGAAAGGTCTTGCATACTCTCCCAGCCTTAACCTTTTCTGGGTTTAGAAATCAGGACTGAAAGAGTTGAGGGACCTTTTTCTCTGCTTAGGCACATCAGGCAAATAGTGCTAGACCTATATTTTGATAAACCAGTCAGCTCTCAATGAGTGATTCTGTCAAGATCTTGCAATCTGCCTTTTCTTCCAAGGGCATCACCTGGTACTCATTTTAGACTAAGTCGACCTGGGAGGCAAGTTCAATCATTACTCTTCACCATATGTATTCTACACTTGCTGTCACCAACTGGAAAGAGAAGGCCAACCAGAGAGATGAGTGGAGGCGGGTGATATCTGCAGCAGTGAACCTCAAGGGTTCGGAATGCTGAAGAAGAAGAAGATGAATTGTATCTTTAACCTTTGGATTGTTATTATCACTTTTATTATTATTTCCATCTGCATGTTCTTATTTGAGGCAATGTTGGTAGCTCTGGGGCTAGAAATTTGTGTGATGATGGCATTAGGATCAGATCCACATCAAATCTTAGTTTTAGAATTTAAAAAATAAATAGCAATATTTCCTGTGGACATCACAATACACTGCAAGATTTGTTCTTGTTATTAAAAATATGTAGCAAAGTTCCTCTTTTAAATAAAAAATAAAAAATGTAAGGCCAAATTTCCTTTTATCATTACAGTATGTGGTAATAATTTCTCATTATATTACAATATAAAGCAAAATAAAGCATTACTCTTTTACATTACAATATGTAGCAATTTCTCTATTTTTGCATTATTCAATTTACCAAGTAGCCCATTGTTGTATTACAATTTATAACAACATTTTCTTTTTACATTATATTGTATAGTAATTTGCAAATTTCGACATTACAGTATATAACAGCATTACACTTTTACATTACAATATATATCAATATTTCTATTTGACATTACAATATATAGCAAGTTTCCCATTTTGACATCACAGTAAAACAGGATGCCTCTTTAACTCTAAAATATAACAAGATCTCCTTTTAGCATTGTAGTATTATAGCATTTCTCTCTCTCTGTCTTTCTCTCTCTCTCTCTCTCTCTCTCTCTCTCTCTCTCTCTCTCTCTCTCTCTCTCTCTCTCTCTCTCTCTCTCTCTCTCTCTCTCTCTCTCTCTCTCTCTCTCTCTCTCTCTCTCTCTCTCTCTCTCTCTCTCTTTCTCTTCCTCACTCCCCCTCTTTCTCATTACAACATAACTCTCTTGTCCTTACTCTTATACAAAGGCTCGCCAACATTCAAATTACTGCCCTGCTGTTTTAATGAAAGAGAAAAATTACCCTGTTCTCCACCTTCTGTAGTGAAATAAACAGACCCCAGAAACAAAAAATGGAATGATAAATTTTGAATATTTTGTAACCACTACTGGATGTATGATCAACTGTTCCCCTTGAATGCCAACTATTGCATGATATTTGTGTACTTTTTTTTTTAAACCTTTGGTTTCAGCATACTAAAGAAATCTGGCATCCAGATGCACTACTGTGCATTTAGTAATTGCTGCCCTTCCCCCTTCCTCGACCCCATTGTGCCTCTTTGGCTCACTGAGAGTCAGCTGGGAAATTGTCTGGTACAGTGAGAATTAAGTCTTTCAGTCCCATCCTGTTATGACTATGTTTCCGCTGGTCCTGCATCACCAGCCTGTTGTTTCATTTGTGTGTGTCACATAGGGCTAACAGTCAATTCCTCCATTCCAGTCTGCCTTGTGCATTCTTTTTTATACCATGGGTGCAGACCAGACCAGTGCAGCAGCTTTGGTCTCTTTTATCACCATTCTTTGCAAGGTTTCTCTATGCTTTCTAAGTTTATGTCTTTCCTATTTATGTGCTTGTTTGCTCTAGTCTCTGGGAGACAAGTTCAGTCAATACTCTTCAGCAGGTATATTCTTTCTTATACCTTTAGATTGCCTATGACACTTTTATTATTTCCCCCCCCCCCCCCCCCCCCCCCCCCTGCATAAATCTTATACATCTTCTTGAAATAGGATACACTTACCCACTACACAGAAGAAATAAAATGTTTGTTTGTTGAGTTCAAAGTTTGAAGATCATGTTTTGATTCTTCCCCAGTATTCATCCCAGATTGATTTTTTTAAACTTTTTGAAAATTAGAGCCAGCGGTATAGAGACAGGTTAAGAAATTCCTGGTAAACCGTGATTGTGACTGACATCAGGAACTATTTGTCTTCAAGGCTTGCGAATATTTGTGTTTAACATTAAGGGCTTTTTTTTTTTTTTTGTCTTTAACATTTGAGAATATTTGTTTCTTTAACATTTCAAAATATTTTTGTTTTAATTTTGCAAAGATGAAAGCTTGTATTGTTTGTTGATTAAACATTTTGATTTTTTGTTCATGCAAGTAGCATTTAGATTGTTTTTTTTTTGGTATGTATTTGACATCTATAGATGTGTTTGTTGGGAAGTATACAGTTTTACCAATCCACTGACTCAAATGTTTGACATATAGATGTGTGCAAATGTCTTTATCCAGGTTTTTTACAAACCCACTGGCACATATATTTGAAATGCCTGTGTACAAGTCTATTTCTCTAGGTTTGCACAGATATTTGACACAGATATTTGACATTCTTTTTCTTTTCTGTGTATGTATAGTGTTAGGTCTTACCAACCCACTGACACAGATATTTGACATTCTTTTTCTTTTCTGTGTATGTATAGTGTTAGGTCTTACCAACCCACTGACACAGATATTTGACATTATTTGTCTTTTCTGTGTATGTATAGTGTTAGGTCTTACCAACCCACTGACACAGATATTTGACATTATTTGTCTTTTCTGTGTATGTATAGTGCTAGGTTTTACCCACCCACTGACACAGATATTTGACATTGTTTTTGGGTCTTTTCTGTGTGAATAGAGTGTTAGGTCTTACCAACCCACTGACACAGATTGTTTACTATTGTTTACAGAGGTGTCTTTCTCAAGGTTTTACCAACCCATGACAAGATATATGACATAATTGGTGTCTTTCTTTGTAGAGTGTTTGGTCTTACTGTCCCACTGACACAGATTGTTTACATATACAGAGGTGTCTTTCTCTGGGTTTTACTAACTTTTTGACACAGATTGTTTACATACACAAGTGTTTTTCTCTAGGTTTTACCTACCCACTGACGCAGATTGCTTACATACACAGAGGTGTCTTTCTCTATGTTTCGCCAACCCACTGACATAAACATCCGACAATACAGTAATACGATCAGACTCCACACTGTGTTATAACCAACAGCCGTCTAAATCCTTCAAGGCAATACCTGCCTTATACACATTTTCTGTTACTGTTTCAGATAACAGATTTGGAGATTTTTTTTTTTAGACAACAGTTACATTCACGCCTTGCTTCCATTGTATGCAGAGAATCACCTTTTGTTATGTTTTACTGATTTCTACTATACGTCCTAAAATGCAGTGTTCTTTAAACTATGGGAATTTCCGTATCTGGATCTGTCATTTAAAACAGAAAAATCCCCTGAAAATAAGCCCTAGCACACGTGTTTTTTTTAAGCGAAATGTAATTTTAGACCTGGTCTTTTTCCCCCAGGTAAACATGGTGGTAGGGCAGCCACTTTCAGGAAACGAGAGTATAGTGAGGATAAGAAGGCCATGATTGCTGACCTCTTATTTAGACTAGGCATATGGCTTACAAGGTAGGAGAGGCAGGCGCAGAAAAAGGAGAAGAGAAAGATTATGTGAGGAACAGGAAAAATAGAAGAGAAAAGGGAAGTAAAAGAAAAAAAGATGATAATGGTGATGATGATGAAAAACAATAATAAAAATAATAATAAGATGATGATGACGAAAAATAGAAGGAGAGAAGAAGAAGAAGAAAATGATGTTGACGATGATAAAAAAATAGAAAAATGAAAGGAGAGAAGAAGACGGGAAAGAAGAAGAAGATGATGATGATGAGGAAAACTAAAAGAAGAAGAAGAAAGAGGAGAGAAGAAGAAGAAGACGAAGAAATAGAAGCAGAACAAGTGAAAGAACAGATGAGCGCTGGTCTGTATAGACTAATTGATGGATGGACGGACACAAGATGGATGGATGGATACAATTAGTTGTTACATTCCCCCCTGTGGGTTCGGGGCCCCATTGTGGGAAAAACAAGAATAGACCCACTGCCTCCCCAAAAGCATGTCGCAAGAGTCGACTAATTGGGGAGCTTCATTTGAAGTAGGAGAGGCAAGGAACCAACAGTCTGTATTCAAGAGAATGAGATCTGTAAAACTGATGCACACACAACACTCAGGTTCTGGAGCAGGACTGCAGTTCAGTAATGGACAAGCAACCAGAAC